GTCGATCCACAACGCGGATCCATTAATTTCACGGACACGCGGTGTTACTCGTCGCCGTTTTCATTCCTTTTTCCTCTCTGCTATTTCTTTTTTTATATCGATCGATCGGCTATTACCGGTTCCGCGGCGACTGTTAATCCTCCGCGAGCCGATTGATAAATCACGGGGAACATTGTAGGTTCGCGCGACTCGACTGCGCCGGACACCGAGTCCGGATTAAAAAGCGCCGCATTTTTCGCCCGTGAGGCGATAAATCCTGGCCCCACCGTTGAAGAATCGCTCCCGCGAATAAATTACCCTATTGATAGTTTCATAAATAATACAATTGTGAAGATTCGAGCATCAACCGGTGATTTATCGGTATTGAACCGGGCCGTGTTCCGAGGTTGCTCGCGTGGCTACGACGATTCTTGCATGTCTTAACCCTTTCAGCGCTACGTAACACGTATACGCGAGCCTTTTCGAAAAATTGCTCGCGATGCACCGTGAACACGTTTCTACGTCCACGTGCAATCATTCAACGCAAACTGTGGAAGAGTCCAGGAGAAAAAGGCCGAGTGTCCTCTTAATTTTATTTCGAGTAAAACTATATTGATTCTTCAATAGTAAGTTTTTCTCTTCAGTTGCGAAATATCGAGTTACAATCCGTGGATTTTTCGATCAAACCTCGTACCTACACGTACTTATGGCAGAGGATCGAACTCTGTCGGGACATTTCTCACTCGAGGATCGTGTTCCAGGGATCCTCGTATAAATCTGTCCGAGTTTTTGCCGGTTTTGCAACGTGTTTCGTCACTCGCTGCTTTTTGCCAATCGAGTGCAAAAAAGTTGCTCTCGTTGTTCGTCGCTCGATTGTATTCCAGGGGTCTTCGTGCTCTGGTAATTTGTCCCTTGGTGTCTTCATTCGGAGAGATGAGTTTAAGTAACCGAAGTTAAATTCTAGACCTGCTTTTCTACGATTTTAATCTGTAATACCAGGAAACGTTTCCTTCGAATCTCGATAATTAAAAATTCCATCTACGGTCCACTCGTCGTCCTGCGCACGAGTTCTCAGTCTACACCTAACCTAACCTCAAATCCCGTACACGAATTCGTACATAAAAAAAGGGTTAAAGACTCTGTCACCTGAAAACGATGACACCCGTGAAAAGCAGGCTGTTCAACAGCTCGTAACTAATTATCCCCCTAATTGAGGCGGTTTTCGCGCGTTGGACATCGCACGTGCACAACTACGAGGGGGTTTTCGCTCGCGGCACGCGACATGCGTGCAAGCGTGCAACATTACGTGCGTACACTCCTCGTAGTGTACGCGTTTCTTTATAAAGTCACGAGAACCCTGTGCACATCACCTTTTCCCCCTCTCTCTCATTCTATTCCTCTCTTCTTCTACTCGCTGTTTCGTGACCATCCAGCATTAATTATGTGTCGTGCCCTTTAATACGAATCTCAGCTTTATGAGCAACGAAGAGGAAGAAAAGAAGAAAGAAGAAGAAGAAGAAGAGGAACACGAAGACAAAAGGATAAAGAAAGTTCGCCAGTGGAAGAAATGATTTTTTCGCGTCTGGCCACCGGGACCAAGGGAAGAATCCTCCTCCTTTTCACCCCTTCCTCCGCGCACCTTCTCTATTCCTCTCTGCGTGTCTTCTATTTCGTCCGGAACGATATTTATTCGGCGTTCTCTGACGAGGGTCCAGCTGTTTCGTCCATCCGTGATTTCTGTGAAACGACGAGAGAGAGAAGTCTGATTGCGGTCCAGTTGACTGATTGGACGGTCCCTACGTCGGACGTTCGAGTCACGCTTGCGAAAAAATATTCGCGAATCTAGCCTCGAACTCGATTCGCCCTGGATACCACGTATATAACGATCTCTTTGTCTTCTTTTTCTTCTTCCCCCTCCTCCTCTTTCCTCTTATTTCTTTCAAACGAACAAACGAGCGACGTAGGTAGCGGTGGGGGAGAACCATCGCACGATGAATGTAGAAAATAGAATTGAAAAAAGGAAGAGAGAGAGAGAAAAAGTGAGGGAAAATCCATCGATCAAATGAGCAAGGCGATGCAAAGACACCAGGAGAGATGTACGCGTCGTCCCTCTATCTCGCGTGGATCTCCCATCCTCGTGTCATCTCAATCGTCCCAGTCGAAAAAATTCCAGCCAGTGCCAGCAATCTCTCTCTCTCTCTCTCTCTTTCTTGCTCTCTGCGTGCGTGTGTGTGTTGGTGTTCAGCTAATAAAATCATCTGCATCCGGGCCAGAAATTATCTGACGAATTCATCTGCTTATCGAGCAATAAAATGGCCCCAGCGTCCACCTCTTACCCGATGCTATCTCTCCACCTTTCCTCCACCTCCTCCGCCCTTCCTCGCCTCGCGTAGGTGCCTAGACACATTGTGGCGCCATGCCAGACCGAACCTTTTCGTGTACAGGTGCGAGTGAGTGCATTCGTTCCCTCTATACTCCTGTTCGATTTTTTCTTTTTCACTCGACCAACGTTCGATGCATACATACGTACGCTGGAAACGCCGTGAACGCGCCTTACGGCCTCGAGGATCCGGGGCCAGTTTAATAAGGACCCTCCTCGTCTCTCCCCCCCACTTACACCCCGTGATATTTATAATCCCGCGGGGAAACTGTTTTTATAATCTCGCCTAGGAATCTCGGAGCCGTAGTGCCACTCGTTTGCTCGTAATCCGGCTGTTTCCAGCCTTTTTTCGTGGTTTATCGGTGTGCTAGCCCCGGGTTACTGGCGATTTTGGGATCGTCGCGTATTCGTCTGTGGAAAATGTTTAGATTTCGAGCGACAAGATTGGGGACTTTGAGTTGGTCAAAATTGAAATTTTTGCTGATAATTGTTTTGACTAATTAAATTATTTCCCTTCCTCTCGATTCCGTGCTTCCAAAGTGTGAAAATAAAGTTGATTCACTTGACCGAGGTGAAATTTTTCTGGCGACAAATTCGCGACGGTGGAACATCGATTGCGGCCTGAATCTTGGAGGTCTAATTAAATTATTCCCCGAAGATAAATTCCTGAGCGGTGGAAAAGTTTAACGCAGCGGAGATTCGTGATCTCGAATGATGGTTGGAGTACTAAAAAATCCCCCCCCGTTGGAGTTTGAAAGGCAGGTACAGGCCGTGCAATAAAACGAACGTTAATTTCCCCCGCGTTAAAGTTATTATTTATTGATACGACGTAATCTCGGGGCCGAGATCAACGGAGAGATGCTTAGTTCGGCCGATATTCCAGCCGAAAGCGCGCGAGCCAGCCGGATTCCTCGTCGCATTTTATTATCTCGATCGTTCATAAATTTCGTTACAATACAAGTATAAAGTATCCACCGCCTCCGCGATACGAAAAAGGTCGTCCCGGGTCCAGGAGGTCCTTTCGCGTGTAGCATTGTCATCGTTCGGGCAACTTTTCAATAATCAATTATACCACGTTAAAATCGTATATTTATGAAATTCTTGTTCGCCCGAGAGGAAAGAAGAAAAAGAAAGAATCACGCCGAAGGAGAAAAACCGTAGGAGAATTGACGATAAAAAAGAAAAAAAGGAAAACGAAAGTTTGTTTATTCTGTACCGTTTGAAAGATCGGAGAGAAGAACAGGTGTAGGTTTGTACGAATTCGAGACAGAATAAAACGAGACAATCTTCTAATATGTCGCATCGTCAATATATTTCAGATCTTTGCAAAACAAATATTATAATATGATACAGGTATGGTCGATGATCGGGAGGTGAGTTTTCTTCTCCGCCAACCTAAGCATATGCACAACGAAGAAAATAATAATTATTACAATAATGTTAGAATCGCTGGTCGTCGTCGTCGCTTGGCCTTATTCGTCTCTCTCTCTCTCCATCTCTCTTCTATCTCTCTTTCTCATCTTGTATTTACACGTTATCACACATAATAAAAATCATCGTAGTACAATATTTTACAACTGTCTCTCTCTCCTTCGATATTTTCATTCATTTCGTTCTGTATTACTCTAACTAACTAAACAATAATCGTATTATATACAACAACAGCGCGTAGATCACGCTGTTTTACGATCTCTCTCTCTCTCTCTCTCTGATCGAAACAGAACACGTTGTTTGTTTCTAAAACACCATTTTTCATTACACCGTCGACGCTTTAATTAGACTCGAGTCCGCGTTGCTTGAGGAACAATCAAGCCTGGAGCCGTTTTCTTTTCGCTTTCGCGATTCTATGAATCGAGGCACGAACACGTGAGTCGCGATCGCTTCGTTTAATTCGTAACGCTTCGATGAGATCGCCTGGACACGAATTTTCGTGTTGAACGAACGCGTCACACGTCTCTCTCTCTTTCTTCCTCCTTCCCTCTCCCACTTGCCATCGTCCATCGCGGTTGATTTAGCATTAATCGTATTTACAGCTCGTCGCACCTCGCCCGTTCAGATAGAGGTAACTTTCTTTTTGGTTCGTCGCAGCACGAATCTCCGACGATCGTTTCACAGCTATCTTACTCCCCAGTTCCTTACTCCGAGATCCTTCACTAGGACGATCCAACTCGTTCTCCTTTTTACCACTTGCGAATCCAGTGAAAATAAATACTAACGAACAGTCTAACCCGAGTTGCGGCTCGTCTTAGCTTCGATCACCAGAGTGGAACTACGAGAAACAATTCTTCGTCATCTTCAGGATTCTTCTACTCTCTCGTATTTGGCTCCTCTTCGGGAATTCTCCGCCGATTTTTTATTCTAGTTGAAGATTCTTCGACGTATTCCCTCGGTTTACCTCTTCCTCGGAAAATCTTCGGTTCCTCTTCGATAATTCCCTCGTCGAAGGTTCACTTCCCTTCTATCCCAAGTTTGCCCATTTCACGTCTTCCAGACTCTGTTTGAGTTCCTCTTGGTCGAAAGGTCCGAGAAATCCCCTCTGCAATGATTGCTACGTGGTCCAACAGTGACCGTAGTCCTTTTCCATTAAACTCGACGCTTGGTCGATCCCGTTCGAACAACTGGTCCACCGTTCGGCTGAGAACTAGTAGGCAGTCGCCTGGTGATGCATCAGCGGATTGAAATGGTGTGGGCCAAGGTGATGGGGCGGCGGAGGTCCTGGCAACGGGCTATGCTGTGGACCGACCGTTGGCGGCTGACAGACGTACCACTCCGTCAATTCCGGGCCCCTGGTCGAAGGATGACTCGACGGTGGGTTGGTCGTGGTGGTCGTCGGGACGACTGGAGGCGGCTGAGGCGACTCCGTGTGCCCGGTCACGGACAAGCTACCCCCGCTGCTGCTGCTCTCTTCACCCTCGCTCTCGTAGCCCCCTCCTATCTTGCCCTCGCCCAGGGTCATGCCGTGCACCTGGAACCAAGAGGCGGAGCCTAACGTTAGACGGCGAGCTTTTGCTAGGCCTGACTCTGTTCGAGGGGTGGAAACCCGGCTGACAGGGGTGTTTATCACAGCTCTGCCTTACGGGTAATTCCCTAGTCTTGTGCTTTTTCCCGTGGAAGAAAATTGTCGAGTTTGTTTTGAAAAAAATTGGGACAGTGTGTGTGTTTTTCTCAGTGATTTGGAGTGGAAGAAAGTTTGGAAACGTTTGGTAGTTGGCTGTTATTGTTACTGTTGTAGTAGTAGGAAATGAATAATTTTAGCTGAGTGAACAACTATGAGAAAAGTAGGTATTTCTAGGTGGAGGAAATAATCTGATCGAATTTGCTTGGCGACAGTGCCAAACCCAAAAGACACAATCTTAATACGTGAAAGACAGAGAAGCTTCCCAATTTCCTCCGAAAGGAATACCGAAGGTATCCTAAAAAATTCTGGATTAGGAGAGTGAGCAAGAACGGCCATTAAATCCTACTACTCCACAGTCTTAATTTACTTTTCCACGATTCAGTGGAATCTCGAAGCGCCGCAGGATGATCCACGACGCGGGCTAACCGAAAAGAAAGCGCAGCTAGTTGTATTTGATCGTCGTAAGTTATCGCTTCGGAGATCAAGGGAATATCACGAGCAAAAGGAGCTCATCGCGTTGGCTGAACCGAAGAAACTGGGATCAGGGTGACGGGGATCAAGGGGCTCCAAGGGTTTCTCTCTCTTTCCACCATCTCTCACACTCTCTGGGGTCCTTCGTTCATAATTCAGTGAGCAAATCTCGCCGACTGCCTTCCGCGAATCACGGCCTGGCGAAAAGCGTGGAGAAGCGAAAGGCGCTCGTTCCTATCCGACGAACCTATCGCGCACGTATCTCGGGAGTTGCCTTTTGGACGGTTTCTCCTCTCTTTTCGCCTCTTCTCTTTCGTCTTACCAATCTCCGCATGTATGTGTGTGCCACAGATAATTTCCTATTAAGATTCCGTGGCCGTTCGTGCATGAACATTGCGCCTGGATATACCAGCCTCCTCTCTTCCCACAGCGGTGTTTTTTTAACCACGAACCTCGTGTCTACTAGCGTTTCCTAGCGTGAAACGAAATGGCAAACAAGCCGGGACTCGCCCCGATACTTCTTCCTTCGAACTTAGGGACGTACGAAAGGCGATACTGTCGGAGCTGAGCAGAGAGAGCATGAGAGATCGCGCGAAAGGAGCAATTAAAGAGGTCCAACGCAAATTTCACCGATCTGCGTGGAGGAAAGGATACTTTTGGAAATTTCATTTATCTTGCAATTTCAAAAACGTCACGTTGCTTGAGAAGCTTGGAAATTTAAAGGGTTAGGCCCAAAACGTCCGAGAAACGTGACGTCTTAGAAATTAGGAATTAAATCAGAATTGCGACTGTTTGATTTCTGCAACGATATCTGCGGCGCCGAGACACGCGTGGAATAACTTGTGTCTTGGGAAATTAACGAGATTCGATTCACTGAATTGAAAGCAGCGAATGATAAATGGTAATTGATAGGACGTGAACCGGGAGGTCGAGAACAGTTTCACGATTGCACACACGTACCTTCATATGCTTGCGCAACGAGCTAGGATGGGTGTAGGACTTGTCGCAGCCGGAAACCCGACAATTGTAAGGCTTGTCGGACGTGTGGACGTGACTGTGCTTCTTGCGGTCGCTGCTGTTCGCGAACCGCCTCTCGCAGCCGGAGTATTCGCACTTGAACGGTTTCTCGCCTGGAACAGAAGAAAAGAAAAAAAAGGTCGACGTGAATTAATGACTTTGTAATTGAGCCTGTGCACTCTGTTCGCGCGTGTCCGTATCGCGGTAATTGAAAGCCGGTTCTCGAAATCACGGGGAAATGAAGAACGACTCGGTCCGAGGATAGAAATGTAACTACCATTCCGTTTCCTTCTCCTTTTCCATTAGCAATTTCGACTTGTAATTAAATTTATACCGATAGATGGTGTCAATTGTGAAATATGCTTAATCTAGGCTGATATTAATGGTAGCGATAATTTATTAGGGGGTGCAAGTGGTTTTGTGCACGTCAGGAAATAGTTGATACTTTGAACCCTTTCGCGGGTCAACGGATGATTTAATTTTGAATTTCGTGGCGCGCTTTTCAAATTTTCACAAGTGTTTTGCCTCTAAATTTAAAAAATTTTTAAAGGGAATTTATTTAGTTGGTTAATATTTTATCGAATAAACTTAGTATACTAATGGTGATAAAGATAAGAATCTCGTGATTGTGTAATTACAATTATTCAAAAAACTCTACAAACCATATCGTAAATCACTCAGAAAAGTAGAATCTTCGTTCCATCAAGCCTTGCTACAACGTATTCAGCATTTTCCTCCTCTAATTGCCGCCAACGTGGTATAAATATCCCCGGGAGAAAAATGCAAACGCTTCCAGGAAAAAAAAGTATCTACATTTTCCAACCGGAACACTCTAACTATTCGCGATTGCAATTATCAGGATCACGAGGTACTGAAAGCGGGGCGATGGTCGTGTGCGTGGATCAGAGGAACGAGGAAACGCTCGTGGAGGGAAAGTGTTTCCTCCGGGGGCCTAGAAGAGTGGAAAAGCTCGGCGGGTCTTGGTTCGTAGGTCTACAATAGGCGGCTCGAAACGCGATTACATCGTATCGCGGAGCGTTTCATCATGATTTCGTGGATATCTTGATGAGCACCGGCGGAGAACACACATTCTCTCCGCCGGTGGCTCCTCTTCGCCTCCGGGGGCGAAGAGTGGCGAGCAGATATCGAAGAGATAAGCTCCCCTGCACACGAATGGCCGACGTCGTCGGGGCGCAACCGAGACCGTGTGGCGTGACTCTTATTTATTTCCACCGGAAGTTGACTGGAATATATTTTACCGTCGGCTCACACCCCCTCCGTTGCCGCCGCTGCCGACGGCGTAGACTCCCTTTTTCCGGGACTTCCTCCTGGCGCTCTCTCCGGAGAAGTGCGGAGACGCGCGAACAGGAAGCGCAAACTTGGCGGATTTTTTATGGGGAAAATGGTGGCCAACTTCGCCCTCCGTGTCCCCCGAGGGATGCGAGGGAAAAGGGGAGAGTTGCTGGATATTGGAGAGGAATATGAAGCTTTTTTTTTAGCTTTCCTTCGTCTGGTGAAAATGTGCCGGGAATATTATTTCATTGCTCGTTTCACTGCGAAATATTTTTTTTGGGAATTACTAGGCGGTGTACTGGGAAATGTTGGAGCTTTCGGGGAGAAATGGAGAAGAAACGTTATCTTTAGATTCTTTAATGGTAACTTGTCAGGAATTTGATGAACTTTAGGATAATTTGACGAAACTCACGGCTAAAGAAGTTTCTTTTCAGAAATTAGACTCTTGCTCGGTAAGTTCTTGCTCAGGTGCTCGTTAATTTATTCAAAGCTGCGACTATTTTTTTAAAGAATTATTCTCTATGCTAGGAAGCAAGCAATTCTAGAAACTTCGAAGATAGTTTACGAGCCTCGTAGACCTACGCTCGTTGAAAGTGATTGAAAAAATTGCTACATTCAGCTGGACGTAAAATTATTTCTGAAAGGTATATAGACTACTATCATCCACTCATAAATCACGACACCCTTATGCACGCTAGTGAGTCATCCAAATCCGACTGCCGCGCACAGTCAACGGAATAAACCGAACGTCACGTCGAATTCCTCGTAACCCTTTCGTGTTTAAACAACGCGAAAACGTTCGGTACAACTAAAATCTTTCCGAAAAATATCAAACATTTGAACACTATCCTCCACGATAAATTATCAAACCCCAAGAACTTTTATTACGTACTTCTTATTTGATCCGATACCGTGACTTGGATATTCGATGAACTCCAGACTCTATCTCGACTACTGTTTCACACCTTACAATAAACCGCTATTACAAAAGACACTCGAAACAAATGTACGAGAATACATATGCATGAGTCGCTACATCACCTTCGTTCTCCCTTTTTTCTTCTTTCCAATAATTCAACCGAAGCTCGTTAACGAACGAGCGAAATTCATTTTCCTTCCCCTGGCTCGTGTGCGCCAGAGAGAGTCGTGCGTTTGTATCGCGAGGAAAGTATACCCGCTAGGTCGGCACGGGCGTCGACAAAGAAGCTTGGTGGGTTTTCGCTAACGCGTCGTTATTCATCTCACGTGTGAAAAGCGCGATAACATTGCCATGTTCCAGTGACGTATCGCCACGACACAGATTATATTTAAATCGCTCGGACGTGGAGTGCGGGTACTTATGGCAGCGCGGCGTCATAAGAAGGCGTCTTAAATATTTATGAAGCTGGAAAGATAGCGGTCCGTGCGCGAGCCTGGTGTCGCCGCCTTATCTGACGTTTCACATGACTATGCCTTAAGCTCCCGTACCGTGCCGAGAGATTTCAGCGTTTGTTCGCAATTTGCGAAGTGGACGCGCGTGCTAGACGCCGCGAACCGTATCGAGAAACTTACATTTATCACCTTTGCCGAGTGATTAGAGGAATTTGCTGAAATTTATCGTTGGGATTTTACTGGGAATTTTTGTGTGTTCAGGAATTTTGGGTCGATGAAATTGATGGTTCAGTGAAATTTGTTTTTTTTTTTTTTTTTTTTTTTTTTGGAAATTTTGGGAATTTTTTGGGGGAGTTGGATGAAAGTATAGTTGCGTGTGATGTGAGATTGTGTATGTTGGTGTATTCTTCATTTCCATGGAAATGTTTAGTTGATTAGATTAGGCGCTACTCTCAAGTATTTGTGAACATTCCTTGTAGTGTTAGTTAACATTCTTTGCACACCTGTTTTGTGTTACATTCTATCCTTGATATGAAGATTAGGGTACTATAAAAACTATCACGTATATATCCTACGATAATCATCACAGTACGATCCCTGCACCCTAGATAAATTCTCTCAAATTTATCTTCCACAGCCACCACGTCTTTTGTAATATCTAAAGTAACAATAGAGCAAGTACCTTTAAACCTTCCTTCTAGTATTAACTCATATTCCTTAGACACCTTTTTAATATAGAAATTAGAATACTACAATTATCATCCCTACACAAATTCCTCCCAACTATAAAACGATCAAAACTTCCTCAAATTTACCGCTGCACCGTTCTAAATAACAAAAGATCAAGATATCGCTTGTTCCCTCTATCGACAACTGACAAGGGGAAGAACAGACGATCTCGTTCGATTCGATTCACCGTGTCTCCACCCACCGATTCGCACCTCCTCGAGGAACCCCGAAGAGGACCAATCGAGAGAGGACGTAGGGTTCCGTGAAGCGAGGTGCCAACGACGAGCTCTCAGTTTATCCCTTGGCTGTTGGCACAAAAGGAAGACGCGTCTCTCCCCGGGGCAGTGTGGCGCGCTCCTTCTCGAAAAACGGGACGATTAATAACTTTTCAAATCTGTCCCCGGCAGGGTCGTGAGCCAGCCCGCCTGGGACCGCTTCGGTAGCGAGAGCGTTGGCAAATAAATAGCAGATAAATAAAAGCTCGCGTCTCTCCTACGTCGTGCATTCTGTCGTGCGCGCGCGGGGTTGCGTGTGCAGATGGCAACAATATGCCGTGAAATATTGCCCCCGTTGAGAGATTATGTGTGTGCTCGCCTGGGGACCTGTGTTGCACGCGTGTGCGTGGATCCGTCCAATGGGAGGAGGCCTCGATACAGGCTTGATTCTGTGTTGCCGAGTGTGTATATCTTTCTGTCTTTCTTTAGTTTTACCTGAGAGGAGATACGGGATTCCTGCGTAAGGGAGAGATTTGATTGTGGGAAGTTTGAGGGAACGTTTGAGCGATGGATGGGTTGCGTTTGATTTCTTGGAAATGTGAATGTGGGGAGAGTATGGAGATTGGAAATTGAGTGCTTGCGAATGGGGATGCTTGGAAATTGAGTGCTTGGAGATCTGGGCGCTCTGAAATTTCAGCGCTTGGAGATCTGGGAGTTTCGAAATTTCGACGCTTCCGAATTTGGGTGTTCTGAAATCTCAACGCTCCCAAATTTGAGCACTTCGAGGTCTGGATGCTTTGAAATCCGAAAGCTTTCAAATTTTGAGTATTCTGAAATTTCAACGCTTTCAAATTTTGAGTGTTCCGAAATATCAACGCCTCCAAATTTGAGCACTTTGAGATCTGGATGCTTTCAAGTCTCAAAGCTTTCAAATTTGAAGTATTCTGAAATTTCAACGCTTCCAAATCTGAGCGCTTCGAGATCTACCCGCCCTGAAATCTCAACGCTCAGAAACCCAAAGGTTCCAAAATTTCCAAACATCGAACCCTCCACCCTCCCATCTCTAAAAACTTGGAAATCTACCATCGCAAAATCCAAGAAACCACAAACCTACTAACCAAATTCTCATATTATCACTTACTTCAAGAACTCCCTATACACCGACAATCTATCACACTGCAACCCACACACACAAGCACACCTAAACCACCACATTCACAGGATCTTACTGTGCAAGAGGGAAGAGTAACGCGAAACGCGCTCACAGGCGACACGCAGACGCGCGTACACATAAAGTGGAGATTCATGGTGCAGCGGGTTGCAGTGTATATCCTGGCGCAGAATCGAAGGGGAGAGAAATCCAGGAGAGTGAAAGAGAGAGAGAGGGTGAGCGGTTCCCGAAGGGCAGTGTAGGCACCGTGTTATGACTTTCAGAATGGGGAGGCACAATGGCCCAGATCCACGCCGGATAAAATAGTTATTATAATCGTTTTGGCTACGGACTG